GACTCTTGGCGTCCCTTATTAGCGGAACCGATGGACCGATTGGTACGATGTCTGCCAAACTTGTGTCGCTTATTGTCCTGCTTTAGTGGACCCGATCGGTGAGCCTCTTGAGCTGCTGCCGAGGATTTCATTTTATGAGTGTATTTGTGGACACAATAAGACTTTTAAAGATATCAACGATTAGTGACTGAAAAACATGTGATTTTGTGAACACATGTAAAGGATATTTATTGAGTATTAGTTGCCATAAAAGGTACCAAATATTCGATAGTTATTGTGTGTATTTTCCATGTTTTTAAGTGATAGTTTTGGAACCTTTTGTTACTAATTGACAATATGTGACATCTATTGACAACATTAGACTTTTAATTAAATAAGTTTTTTAATTGATTTTATATTAATTTAAATGATTTTTAATTGATTTTATAATTGATTTTATAATGAATTTAAATGCGGTTTCGTTTATAAATAATATATTTTATTATAAAAACATTTATTAAATTTTTTGACACATTAATGGGTATAATAAGCTGACAGTAAAAGTGTTAAAACTATTCACAAAATAATAATTAAATTAAAAACAATAAAAATCTCAACAAATGGTAAAAACTTAAGAACTTGTGGCCACTAATTGTCTGGAACCAGGGGTTCGGGTGGCATATGCCTACGAAAACAACTTTCCCTTCAATAACTTGCTATCCTTTACATCCCTTTCCTTCTCCAACACATCCAAAGCGGCCAACTCTTTGCGGACAGTCTTCTCAAGACTGGGCTCTAACTCGAGAACCCTATGATAATCGCGACGACTGTCCACCAAATTCCATACCTTTCCCTCAGCCCTGGCCTTCCTGTACAGGGCTTTCGAGTTATTGGGATCAATGGCGAGCACCTGACCCGCGAAGTCAATCACCGGATAGTAGTCTTCAGTGAGTAGTCGGCACTGACACAGGTTTGACAGAAGCGGCACTTTTAACAGTTCCAAGCGGTGATAGTCTTCGTCGCCCGGCTTTTCCCTCAGCAGTAATTGTTCGACAATAGCGACGGCTTTGCTGTAGAGCTGGTCGGCCTCCCGGTGCTGACCGCCAGAGTAGAGACGGTTCCCTTCGGTCCGATAGCGAGGTATGGCTTCCAATAGTTCCGATTCAGACATTTGCCACAACTCTTTGTCGTATTCTTCGGGTGACTCAACTGATAATAACTCGATAGTGAACTGCAGCGGACGGGGATGTGTGACGAGTTCATCCAAATCCTGGTGACCTAACCCGGCGTTTAGCGCCATTCCTATCATTAATGATAACTTCATTGAGTAATCGGTGGTAAATGTGATCATCAATTAGCCATTAATTACCGCAACAGCGACGCGAAGGTATGTTGTCTTCCTCTTCGTCATGGGAACCGTTGGAAGCGTTGCTCTGATGCGAGAACTTTCGGTAACATTTGGACACAAATGGATAGTCAGTACACAAGCGCTGGTCGGCCACCAGACGCGACACTTCGCCGACTCTCATGTGTTTCAGCCATTCCTCCCATAAAATCAGTTTAAACTTCTTTCCGATAATCAGTTCCATAGGTTTGCCACACTTTCTCGAGTCGTCGATCACCTGCAACTGGTCCTCATCATCACCGCCACTGCCATCGGCCGCCAGTTTCACGGTTCTGAAGTGAAATGTCACCTAAAAGTGTGGTGAAAGACAATCATCTCATTAGTTATGGTAATGACTGGCGATTGGCCTCTACTTTAGTGCCGTCCTTATAGTCGCGTATATCTCCAGACCCGGGGTATAATACCCGTCGCGATTGGATCAGATTCAGAGCCATTGATATCTACCACTCAATGGCATCACCAGTAGATTCAAGAGGAATGGTTGGCCAACAGATGGCAATAGTATAGCACTCTGTGAGTGGCCTTTCAATGAGTGTAGGAATTGAATGAATGACTGATTGTATGAATGAATGACTGATTGTATGAATGGATTGTGAATTAGTGTCCACTCATAGTATGGAAATATTGATTGATATATATGTGAGTGTCAGTAAGAAACGGTTTTGTTTTTTTTATATTTAAGCTGTAATTCGTAGCACATATACAACTCAATGAAGTTTTGTACAGTATAATACATATATTAACAAAATTTTTCATCTTTAGCAATTACTAATGTTATAAGTATTAGTAACTTGGCTCTCGAGCCAATGAATGTTAATCTATGGTATAATACATTCATGTATACAACAATAATCGGGGAGTTGAACGGCGGGTATGTTTACATAGTTTTTAAAATTAGATTAAACGGGGTTTCGAATTCATCATTTATAAATCCTAACATATATTCCCCTCCCCCTCCCAGGAGAACCATCCCCTGCCGGTTCGATGCACGTGAACGTGGGTTCACCTCCTGGTAGTCTGTAAGATGCGGACACTCCGACACCCAATCCTACAGTCGAGTGAACACAACATATATACGAAATATATTTGAATGAAATTTAAAAAATAATAAATTATTTCTATTTTTAATGAAAAGTTAATATTTAATTACATTTTGGGATATTATGCGAGAAATTAATTATTAATAACTGTTTAATTGAATGATATAATTGTGTTGACTATTAGTGAATACGATATGACTCTTAAATACATAGAAAACGAATGACTATATTATAGCTAAATATCGACACTTCTTGAGATGTGGCCATCAATTGGTCCACTCGTTGATGGACGCCATCAACTGTCGCGCCCTCTGAATGGGATCCACGGGTTGTGCCGAATAACACGTGGACTTGACACGCCTTTCCCCGTTATACTCGTCCACTTTGGAGCCGCACCTCAACTGAAACGTCCTGAAGAGCAGCGCCGACACCAGCGCCTGATACTCATCGACGCTGCTCTCGTAGAGCGCCGACAGCTCTGCCACGGGTCGGCCGATCAGCTTCTCCGCCACCTCATGGAAAGCGGTGACCCATTGGTCGCCAGTGGCGTCGCTGACGAGCACCGACAGCATAAGTCGCCACTGGAACTGATGGCCATTGTGTCCGCATTTGTCGCAGAAGTAGAAGCCGTTCTCTTCGCGCACTTTCTTCGAGCAGCCGTTGTTTCCGCACGACTTATACAGGTGTCTGTCGGCCCGGTTGGTCGCGACTACCGTTCCCTTGCAGTTGTAGTACAGCGACTGTCCGTCCTGAGGCACCGACTGTTCGTTGATTTGCGCCAAAAAGCGGTACTCATTGGCGCCGTTCGCTGCGTCGCCGCTCGCTTTGCTTAACGGCTGTACGGACTTGAGATTACCGGCCCCTCCGAGCGCCAGTTCCCTCTCGTACCAGCCCTTCAGTATGTGAGCCTCGGGTAAGTCCGGATCCAACTCTAGGGTCGCGTTGGGCGCACAGCTCAACGTCCGGCCCCTAAAGTCGCCGACAATCGCGTTCTTAATGGCCATCACTTGTCCCGTACAGCCGGCGAACTCCTCGGCCTCCCGGCGCCACAGAGTGAGCCGCACCTCCGCTAAGCTCTTGTCGACGANGCAAACATGTCTTGAGATTCTTCCGGATGTTTGGCTAACGCTATCAACAGTTGTTGAGATGCCTTATCGGCGCCGTTATTATTGCTATATGTGGTGATCACTGACGCCAAGTGTTCGCCAATCACTTCATCCACGTCTTCAGCGGTTGTGACCACCGATGGCTGGAACTCATGACTACTCGACATGTGATTAGATATCATTGAGTTATCACTAATCGTTTGATGGTTTCGGTGATCAATCTGTAGATATATCTCGTGATTATCACCACTGGAAGAGCCATCAGTGGTGATCGTCTGTCCGCACATACTGTTGCTGTCCATGAGTACAGCCGATGACTGTGACGGCTGTTGATGGTTCTGAAGGGGTTGTTGTGGTATTGGTTGTGATATGGACTGCTGTAGTGGTGGTGGCTGTCCCTGTGGGTGATGGTCCTCCTGTTCCAACCTCATGGCCAATGCGTTGATATCTGCGGCCGAGTTGTTGACGATTTCCTGAAGACGTTCGGACACAACGTTCCAGAACTGAACCGCTTTGAGCTTCTCTTCGGCCGACATCTCCGGCACCAAAACCACCGCCTCTTCGATCTGAACACACGATAAAAGTTTCATTTTTATCAGTTTAGCTATCTTTGGATCAGTTTCGGTGACTTCTTATTACTAATTGAATCTCTCTCTCTCTCTCTCTCTCTCTCTCTCTCTCTCACACACACACACACACAAAATTGTTTAAAATAAATAAATTCTTGACCTCTGGAACCATTTCAGTGACTTTTACTTACAAATGTGAACATAATAGACACAAAAAATTTAAATATTTCGTGTAAATTGTGATAAATTAATTTAATTATTTGTATGGAAAATGTGCCGTCTTATTACATCTTTACACAAATCTTACGGAATATTCTGTATATTTAGTGATAAAATACATATTCTTAACCATAACAGTAATATAGTTTTACATAATATTTACATCAATAATAAAACTGTATTTTCAAGAATATTCTGTTTTATTTAAAATGTGTTAAAAATTAAATGTATTTATTTTATGAAAAACTAAATAAAAATGTTATGAATTAAATAATATGACTAATTATCAAAATAACTAATTAACAAACTATTAATTTAATTTAATTTTGCAAACATATAATTAGTTAAAACTCAATTAAAAGTATATTATATTTAATTAATAGTTTTTATAACGTAAGCATACTATCATGATTGATAATTTAAAATCTTTCATAATGAACTTACTCCATAAAAGTTATCAAGGTATCGATTAGCTATTCTATGTGTTTATTTTAATTGATTGTTATATTATTAGTTTGTGTTCATTTATAAGTGTATTTAATTGAATGTAATTTAAATGCAAAACAATTATGTAATTATGTCGAGAGAGAGAGCGAGAGAGAGAGAGAGTGAGAGAGGGCTAATTTCAATAGCGAGTAAAATGGAGACAACTTATAAGGGGAACGGTATGCAAACAAATACACATAAAAATGTCAATCGATACACACAATAGAGTAGACAAACAATTGTATCATTTAATGAGTCCGAGTGCCCGATAATGATCACTACAATTAGCATGCTCATCTAGACACTGATTGCGCTGGTTGGGCACCGGTAGGCACTGCAAGCTTAAGATTACAGTGTTCGCACTGGTAGTATGTCTATGGATTGTAATAGCATGGCATAAACACACAGACAGTTATACCCGATCATAGCCTACCAGCCCTATAGCCATACAAAACCATTTAAACAGCATATGATTGGAGACTTACTTTGCTCTTGAATGCAACCAAACTCATCGTAAACTGATTGCCACTCATTGTGGTGAGTGGTCTGTGCGGTGATGTCTTCGTGTGGTCTATGTCTGGATCATTAGGTGATCGTTGAGTGCATAGAGTGTCTCACTCTCGCAGTTGTATTGCCTTTATGTGAGTGACAGTCGACTGAGAGTCCATTCAACACAACAATAGTCTCAATGAGTGTACTATAAGTCGACGTAATGTCTGGCACTTCATATAACACTGCCTTTGTGTGGGCTATACGTGCGTACAGTATATACTCGTTATAGTCAACCAATTAATTACTGCACAAATGTTAACCCAATTATCATAACTAATTAATTGTATGCATTAACTGCTAAATTATTTTCGTATATTATGATAGTGGCCAATTTGTCAAAACACCCTGGTCCAATTTAACGTGTAGTGTTGCATATACGGGGAGTGGGCTGTAAGTCTAGCAAATAGCAGACACACAGTATTACGGCATTTACGTAACGCATACAAAGCTATTGTGACGTAAACTGTGTCTCAATGTCTACAATGCAATGACTCAATGCATAACACAGTGAACACACGTTCAGCACAACATCAACACAATTAGCAAATAGTGTACTAAAAAGTGTCAAATAGTGTGCCCTAAGGGTATACAGTGCTATAAATCGGTGCAAATTGTGAGCACAACACAAATTATTGATAAAAACAATCACTTTTTTCAAAGCAATAGTAATTGACGTGTGGTTTGTGTCCACAAAATACAAAAACATTTTGCAAATAAAAAACTTTTAAAAACAAAAAATCTTTTGTCACGTGATTTGTGTGGACACAGACTTGACGTATGATTTGGGGGACGATTATCGCACACATCACCGCCAACTGATCCCATAGTCATCGCCAATCCCGCTGTACCATCGAAAGGGACACATCAGTGTAGGGGAACGGTATGCCATCGACTAAAGCGTTTGTAACGTTGACTACCAGTGCTTTGGTGAGCGTCGGTGTCATATACTATGTCCACAATCAACAGCAACGGGAGAGACAGACCATGCATTTTCAGTGTAGGGGAACGGTATGCCATCGACTAAAGCGTTTGTAACGTTGACTACCAGTGCTTTGGTGAGCGTCGGTGTCATATACTATGTCCACAATCAACAGCAACGGGAGAGACAGACCATGCATTTGGGGGTAATTAAGGACATACAGCGGCAACACTACAAACACGTCAAGACTACCGGTGCCACCGATGACTGACACTCACCCTCACCAGTGGTGCAGCCAATGATCACTTGATTGTCATTTAATTAGTCATTAATGAATAGTCTATGAAATAGTATACAGTTTTCGGTATTGAATGCAAAAATAAAATTCAAGTTTTTTACGCCAATCGAGTCGTACGTAAATATCGTTACTTCGGTGTGAATCTGCAAAATACTGTTAACAAACAGCTATTCATTTGGTACTTTTGATTACAGAGTGTAATATTGGGTTTGTTGTATGAAAAGGTACTGAAATATTGGTATAGCGTTAGTGCGTAAACAGTTTGAGCGCCAAAACCTATTCGCAAGCATTGAGTCATTGAATGCAATGTTTTGCGTTTCAGTGACACAATAGTCGCAGACATTCAAAGACATAACTATCACCGCAAACGCCACCATAAGCTGATCCAAACACTCGTGTGGTGTCCACAGAGATGACAACATACCGTTCACTGCCGATGACACCGGCGCTGAGCACCGGCTGTCTCCAGCAGATCATCAAAACGAAAGCCAACGTCACGAGCGGTGGTGACAGTCATCAGCAGCCGATTGTCCAGATCTTAGGCACTAAACGCGTGGCCAACGGATCCATACGAGTCATACTCTACGACGGCGTCCACACACTCAAGACAGCAGTGATCAAGAAGTCACCGGAAAATGACGCCAAGTTTGACGGCAAACAGATGGAGAACTTCTCGATCGTACAACTCGTCCACTACTGGGTGTCTGTCATCACCGGTCATAACGATATGGAAGTCCTTATTGTCGGCGATTTGGTCACTCTTATGAGGGGTACGTCTCTCTCATTCTCTCTCTCTCTCTCTCTCGACGAGACGATTCACTCATTGATTTTGTCTAACCATAGGCTCACTCGTGGGTCGCAAACTGGAAGTGTCAGCACCGGTAGCTTCAGTGAACCCTCACGGGCAGTCCGTGCAAAACAACCAGAATCTCAACAACACAGTGAACGCCGGCATCGACACCAGCAAAGTGTGTCCCATCGCAGCCATCACCCCATTCTTCAACGGTTGGCTAATCCGTGCGCGGATTACCTCTAAGATACCGGTGCGCACCTATACGACAAAGGATGGCAGGGAAGGGAAGGTGTTCTCATTCGACGCCACCGACCACTCGAGTGACATCCGAGTGACGGCTTTCAACGCCGAGTGCGACAAATACCACGATATCATCGAAAAGGACATGAATTACTTGATCCAAAAGGGAACCGTTAAGACCGCGAACAGGAAGTTCTCGAACTGCAAGTCTGACTACGAGATTATGTTGACCTCCGAGTCGGTGATAGAGTTGTGTCAGGACGACGTACCCCTTCCACCCGTGAGCTACCGGTTCCGTCAGATCGGACAACTGGTTGACGATCCGGTGGGCGTATCGGTGGACGTGTGCGCAGTCATCCGAGTGGTCGACGAGTGCCAGAAAATTGTCGCCAAAAAGGATCAGAAGGAGTATCAGAAGCGAGACGTGACGCTCGTCGACAAGAGCTTAGCGGAGGTGCGGCTCACTCTGTGGCGCCGGGAGGCCGAGGAGTTCGCCGGCTGTACGGGACAAGTGATGGCCATTAAGAACGCGATTGTCGGCGACTTTAGGGGCCGGACGTTGAGCTGTGCGCCCAACGCGATTGTGTATTTGTTTGCATACCGTTCCCCTTATAAGTTGTCTCCATTTTACTCGCTATTACTCTCTCTCTCTCTCTCTCTCTCTCTCTCTCTCTCTCTCTCGACATAATTACATAATTGTTTTGCATTTAAATTACATTCAATTAAATACACTTATAAATGAACACAAACTAATAATATAACAATCAATTAAAATAAGCACATAGAATAGCTAATCGATACCTTGATAACTTTTATGGAATAAGTTAATTATGAAAAATCTTTAATACAGTAGTATGCTTACATTATAAAAACTATTAAGTAAATATAATATAATATACTTTTAATTGAGTTCAAACTAATTATATGTTTGCAAAATTAAATTAAATTAATAGTTTGTTAATTAGTTATTTTGATAATTAGTTATATTATTTAATTCATAACATTTTTATTTAGTTTTTTCATCAATTAAATACATTTAATTTTTTAATTAACACAATTTAAATAAAACAGAATATTCTTGAAAATACAGTTTTATTATTGACGTAAATATGTTGTAAAACTATATTATGGTTAAGAATATGTATTTTATCACTAAATATACAGAATATTCCGTAAGATTTGCGTAAAGATGTAATAAGACAGCACATTTTCTATTCAAATAATTAAATCAATTTACACAAAATATTTTAATTTTTTGTGTCTATTATGTTCACATTTATAAGTAAAAGTCACTGAAATGGTTCCAGAGGTCAAGAATTTATTTATTTTAAACAATTTTGTTAGAAAGAGAGAGAGAGAGAGAGAGAGAGAGAGAGAGAGAGAGGGAGGTAAGGATCCAATTAGTAATAAGAAGTCACCGAAACTGATCCAAAGATAGCTAAACTGATAAAAATGAAACTTTTATCGTGTGTTCAGATCGAAGAGGCGGTGGTTTTGGTGCCGGAGATGTCGGCCGAAGAGAAGCTCAAAGCGGTTCAGTTCTGGAACGTTGTGTCCGAACGTCTTCAGGAAATCGTCAACAACTCGGCCGCAGATATCAACGCATTGGCCATGAGGTTGGAACAGGAGGACCATCACCCACAGGGACAGCCACCACCACTACAGCAGTCCATATCACAACCAATACCACAACAACCCCTTCAGAACCATCAACAGCCGTCACAGTCATCGGCTGTACTCATGGACAGCAACAGTATGTGCGGACAGACGATGACCACTGATGGCTCTTCCAGTGGTGATAATCACGAGATATATCTACCGATTGATCACCGAAACCATCAAACGATTAGTGATAACTCAATGATATCTAATCACATGTCGAGTAGTCATGAGTTCCAGCCATCGGTGGTCACAACCGCTGAAGACGTGGATGAAGTGATTGGCGAACACTTGGCGTCAGTGATCACCACATATAGCAATAATAACGGCGCCGATAAGGCATCTCAACAACTGTTGATAGCGTTAGCCAAACATCCGGAAGAATCTCAAGACATGTTTGCCGAACAGTTGGAGATGAGTGACGACAGACATCGACCTTCACAGCAGCCATCGATGGCCACCACTACTAGTGTTATACAAGAGTTGGATCAGAATGTGTTGATAACCAGTCAGCGGAGGAATGTTATCCAATCGACTCAGAAGGCTATCGAAGCCATTGAGAAGAATCTACAGAACTGTTGCCACGAATTCGAGACTAAGACTCGCGAGTCGTTTGGTTCCGGCGGTGATAATCGACTTCACGAGTCGAGCAGTGATAATACCGGCAGTAATCTCATTAAAACTATTGAAACCATTGATGAAACTCGTGGTGAGAGTAGCGGCGAAACCGTTGGATCAGTTAATCACGTGTTTAACGACACCTCCTTTGATGTGAATTCGTTGGACGGAAGCAGTGTATCGGCCGCCGAAGACACGGATCAGAACTCGAGACCGAAGTATAGTATCGATGAGACGGTGAACACAGATAATAGTCAGGAATCAGTAGTAAACGAGTTGACGATCAGTGAGAAAAAGAGTCAAAAGAAGTCGTTGTCACCGAAAAAGAGGTGCAAAATGGGCGCCAATAAGAGCCTTAAGAGTCTTAAGAATAAAGATAATAAGAGTTCGAGTGATGGGAACTACTCGTGCGATATCTGTCACAAAGTGTTGCCCAACGAGTCGGCATTAGTGACCCACAAGTGGATCCACTCGAAGCCCTACTCCTGTAGCGAATGCGAGGCCCGGTTCTCGACAAAAGGCAATCTACTGGTCCATCAGCGCCGACACACCGGAGAGAAGCCCTTTCAATGCGATCGATGTCCGGCCTCTTTCTCTACTAAAGGCAACCTCAAGAGGCATATCAAAGCTCACAGCGGTTTGTACTCATCACTAGCTCTTGAGTTTGCGTTTGAATTAACTTTTTTGTTTGTTTCCATTCGTGGGCACCGGTAGGCGAGAGACCGTGGAAATGCTCTCAATGCGAGTCCCGGTTCACCGAAAAGAAGTCCCTTAAAGTACATATGCGTCGACACACCGGCGAAAAGCCGTACCAGTGCTCAGTGTGCGGCAAGTCGTTCAGTCAGACGGGGGTATTGCAGACCCATATGGCCCTACACTTGGATGAGCGCAAACACCTCTGCGAACTCTGCGGTAAGGCCTTCCGCCAGAGGTCTCAACTCAGGCTACATGTGCTGCGACACGAGGGAGTGAAGCGGTGGGACTGCACCGACTGTGAGGCCAAGTTCTTGACGAAGGGAGACCTCGAGAGGCACCATAGGGTGCATACAGGGGAACGACCGTTCGTTTGCGATTTGTGCGGAAAGACATTCACGAGGCAACAGTCACTCAATGAACACTCCAACAGACACTACGGCCTTAAGCCCTACGCCTGTACTGTCTGTTCAAAGACTTTCGCCGAAATGAGCGCCTGTTATAAAGTATTTCATTAATCTATGGTTTTGTTTCCAATACTAATCAATGTTTTTAAATCCCTTTTAAAGCACATAAAAGTGCATAAAAAGCAACAAACGATTAACAAGAATACGGGAAACGAATCGATAATTAAGACATCGATGGCTAAAGAGGTAGCCATTAGTAATCGTCGGGTGTTGACCGCAAATGAGACTAAAGCAAATGTGCCGGTATATATATATTGATTAAATTGATTTCAAATTAACTTTGTATTAAATTTTGTTGTATTTATAGACAACGCGTTCGCAAATTAATGTCATCCAATCGACGGCCACTTCCGGTCACCACAAAGCGGCCCCCAAAACGTACTTCAAGTCTACCACCGATGGACATATCAACAGCAATATAAGCGGCGATTCCATCAACACGTCCGCCAGTAATAGTAATAACAATATAATGATCACTAATAGCAACGATTCTGTCGAATACGTCGACTTCGGGGCCATTAATCTGTTGGCCAACACTTCCACTCAATAATCAAGTGAACGATAATCTAAAAACATTTTTTCCATTTATTTATTTTCATTTGTAATATAATTATCGCTAAATACATATAAAATATATTTTCAATTCACTAATCATTAAAAAAGTCTTGAATTGCATATAAAAAAGACATAAAAACTAAAATCACTTCAAATGATGGAGAATCCAAAGACAGGCATTGATTGCAACGTCTCCGTCGACGTCCACTTTCTGGAGGTCGTGCTTATCGTCGTAAACGTGGCACTCAGTCTTCACACCCCTGGCCTTCAGCACCCGATAGTAACTCAAGCCCTGAGTCATAGGCACCCGACGATCCTTTCGCCCCAACATCATAAGCGTCGGTACCTTTACGTTGTGTATCCAATTCGTGGGCGACTTCTTGATCATCACCTCCGCTGTCATCGGATCCAACACTTTGTCGAACGCAAAGACATCGGGTTTTCCAAATGCCTCGACGTAACCCCAGTCGGGAATGTCGGTGCCGTCCATTTTGGTCGCTAAGTTCACAACGGGGTTACGGGTTACGCAGGCCTTCCAGTCCCAGTGGGCGTACTGTCCGGACAGGTGTGTCACCATAAATCCGCCATGAGATCCGCCAAACAGTGACAGTTGCTGTCGATCCACCAGATTCTTGTCGGACATGTAATCAATGGCTTTAATCATATCCTTGACGTCCTTATCGCCCACGTGTCCGATCAGGTCATTCACGAACCCCTCGTCCACACCTAACGATCCCCTGTAGTTCACTACCAATTAATACGACAATCAGTTTATTTTTTCATATTTGATGGCAATATCTGATAATACCTATCAATGTCTTTAAACCGATTCGTGCGAATAGTGCCGGATATATGCCATAAGTGTTGTGTAATATAGAATGGGGTCCGCCGTGAGGGATGACTATAGTGGGCGCCGGCTGTTGGGCCACCTGTTTAGGACTGACCAGAATAGTTGGCAACAGTTTTGTGCGATCATCGCTTGGAATCCAATAGCTCTCAACAGTTATGTCTTTGAGTGAGTCCTTTGAATTGGTCTCCACTTCCACCCACTCTACCGGTGACTCCACGTCATTATCATTGAGTTTACCGATGAAGACGTTGGGCTTCTGGTCAATAGCGGAACCGCTGACAACCAGAACGTTGTCTTTGAAGTCCAGGATTGAAGCCGAAGGTCTCGGGAACTCAATGGGAATCAATCGACCGGTCTTTAGCTCAACCAAACATATTTTGAACTCGAGTTCAGTGAAACTATTGATCACCAAATACTTTCCCGAAGTAGTGAATGGGTTGTCCAGTAACTCAACCCCAGAAATAGGAGTGAAAATAGTACACACCTTCCCATATCTGGGACCTTCTGTGGTGTCTATTATCTCTCGGCGGCCATTGCTGTCCACAACAACTTCAGATGTCTTGGACTCAAAGTTATAGCGCATTAGATGTCTGGCTTTCCCGTGAGGACCGCCCCAACTGTCCTCCAAATACACAAAACCTGTTCCATCGGGTAGTGGACGGGGACTAGAGATGTGTGTGGGCTCTGACCCGCACACCATCACCGGCACAGACTTTTCAGCTCTCAAATCGACTGTGAATACAGAACTCTTGCGATTCATACAGAATACTAATCCTAAACGTCGGGGCTCTTCAACAAAACCCACGAATCCAATGGTATTCCCCGTACTGTCCGTCCAGAAGGGCTGACCCAATGAATAGCCGGGCATTTCAATGGTACGTATCTTAAAGTCATTTTCGACATCGAGAACAGCAATCACTGTATGAGTGATACCATCGAAGCATTCGCCCCAATCCTCTCTGGAGTGCCACCAAATCCATTATAAAAGCTTATACTATAACCTCATTAACTAATGACATACCTGTACACAAACTCCTGACCCCTTGTGTCCGACTCTTTGACCGAGTTATCGGACTTTTTCGATACTTTCTTATAGTATGACTGAGCCTTCGGTGGCTTATAATCGGCGACATATAGTAGTTGTTTGCCATTTGGTGACCACTGGATCCGACCGAAGGTGGGCTCCAATACCAACGCCGAGTGTTCGTCCATTGCATTGATGTCAATGGACTTCACTTTCGAAGTCTGATCCCATATTTCCAGCCATTGTTTTAGTTTCCCTGATTCGGGATCTTTGGAACCCTTTCGCACGACTGCCATGTATTGAGTTACCGGTGCTCTCGCAGTGGCTGACAATCTATTGATTCATTTTATGAGTGAACAAACAAACTTTGATTATATGTTTGAATATCTCACTCATCGGTCACATCCATGGGTTGTCCGACCGGTTGGATGTGTTTAACACGAGTGTAGTCTTTGGACAGTTTGATGGTGTGTTGGACGGCATGTT